TTATTCTCAGTGTTTGTGGCAGTGCTAACTGACCTCAAGTGCTCAAAATTTCGCAGAAGTGAGTCACTTTCTTGTCTGTATTGTGCCATGACACTCTGCGTTACTTTCCTATGGCAACACCGATTCTTCTGCATTGATTATAAGGGAGGCTAGGCGAGAGCGCTTGTGCACGCAGCGGCAGATGCAGCGCGGCTACAGGCAGCCAGGCCACACGGCAACGCGTGCACACATCCACGCAGCAGAAGCAATGACGACTGCCTGCCTGCCTGCCTGCCTCCTTGCATTTGCGCATTCAAGCACAAACGTTGAAACTACAAGGATAATTCCGCAATAAGTTATCTCACCGTCCTTTTCTACAATTGCTCATTCCTCTGTCAACCGTAAATTAACTTTATAGCCCAGTAACTCGAATTAGCGCGTGATATTGCTTAAGTAATGCTAGATGGACCTGGGTTGTCGGTGACAGAGGTAATGATGAACCTATTCGCAAGCCGGAAGGCGTACACAGCGATAGGAAGTAGATTCTCTGCACTAGCAAGACCCTATGCATAATTAATCGACCATTATGAGCTGCATTTTTAAGTGATTCTACGATGTTATTTAAGTGCCGTCCGTGTAGAGAAACGGGATTTTTGTCGAAAATAAGCCCAATAAAAAAGATAAAATTGATTCATTCTTATTGAGAGTGGAGTGAGACAGCGACATCAGAGCTACTCAATGTCATTCATTGCAATAAAACAAATAACTAATGCTCTACAACAAACATTGGGATATAGAAGAAGGTATCAAGGAAATATAAAAATTGGATTAGTCGGGTAGTCAAAACTCAAGGCTTCCGCTGACACAGTGACTCTGTCACAGAGGAATCTGAACACAAACAAAAATATCCAGTAGGTCGCGGCGTGCCCTTGCTGTCTACCATACTTTGGTCAAAATTAGTTGCATAATTGAATGCAAATTCAAATGTATTTGGATGTGAAGTAATCTGTTTATTCTGTTGTAATTGAAATTAATTTTGTAGTTATTAATTTTTTTTTGAATTTATATTCGAAAAGAGTGGTTTTTTAAGTCATCTTAAAATCCAATTCCGTAAATTGTATGCATGGAGGGAAACAGACTAACATCCATTTTAGCTCACAATGAGGGTATAGTCGTAACGTTCGTAGAATACAATTTAGACGTATAATCTGGAAATAACAAATTACACAAATATCCGATGACCTTCTTATACACTGGCGATCAGTTGTTCATAACTAGCGAAGCAGCTTTTCCACTTCAGCCGTTAGAGTAGGTTAATTTTAAGTTGCGGCTTTTTATTCTAAAAGTTGGTTAAACAAAATCGATTAATGTTTCAATCACTAAACATCGATGGATCCCAAATTGAGAACTGCTCTCTTGCCAGTATGGAGAGCCTCACTTTTTGAAAACATTTTTGAAAAATTGTCATCATCTTAAAATAGGGAATCCTAATTATTTAAGCATTAACTGAAATAAAGGTGAGTTGCTTGAACAGGAGAACATGAGGTTGTCGTGCTCCAGCTACCACCGTAGAATTCGGCGCTAAAGAAATTGGTACCTGGAGAGCAATCGCAGTGCCTCTTGATATTCAACGAAAAACCATATCTCACTTCATGTGAAAACTCACGTTTTTTAGTTTCCACGTCTGAAAGCTTGTTTATATGGCCTCAATGCTAACATTTGTAGCCGCAGCAGTAGTAGTAGCAGTAGTAGCAGTGACAAGAAATCACAGTTCAAAGCTTGTATGTGATTTGTACTTCATTGAGCGAGTTCATCCGTGCACTTGTCATGCACCACCTGGTTGTGGAGGTGACATTTGAGAGAATTTTGAATGCCGTGACATATCGTCATCACCCACTGAGTGCTGATTCTTGTCACCTGTTCAAGTAGTGTGTCCGAGACCGTGATTATCGTTGTTCATTGCTTTAACCACCAAGAGGTAATAGTAAGCTAAGACTCCAGCATGATGTGCATGAAAGTAAGGAAAGGGGCATAGAAAACGTGTAACAAATGTCTTAGCGGTGGGACAATTGGATTTGAGTAGTAAATGATGCAGCAATAAGTGGGAAGTGGTTTATGGAAATGGGAATCAGACATTGCCACCAGGCCCCATTTTCACTGCACTGATGATCTCGTGTAAGATGCTTCCAAATCGGCTAAGATGGCATTTCGTCTGCATTGGGATCGACCCAAGGACTTTACGACTGGTTGACAGTATGTGGAGGAGACATGACGGACTCATCTCGTAAGGTGAACAGCGAACCACGGGAGTGCGGTGTCAGATGTGAACGAAGGGAGGCTATTGCTGGAGGCAGGTGAACAGAGGGCGACACGTCAATTCTGAAATTAGGCAAATTGTGCAACATGACGACGCCCCATGTTCATTTGATTAGATGGGGATTTACGCGGCCAGTAGGCACGCGATATCGTCAAGGCAGCCGAAGGCGGCGCTTTTGACCTTCGCCTCAGAAACGTGGCGTGATGCTAGGCATGTCACTGGTTTGCGGATGAAAGTAATCACATAGTGACTTGAATGCGTGCTTTGTGCATCCAAACAACTGGCACCTTTCCTCATATTTGCAAACATTTACAATTCCTACTGAGCATTGAAGACAGCTCTGAAGTGTGGCGCACGTCGTGGAACAGTGGCAGCACAGTCAAATGAACTTGGCTCACATCGGAGTCGGTGCCATGTTTGCAACGTCTACAGC